TGAGTGGCTCTTTTACACACACACACACACACACACACACACACACACACACACACACACACACGCGCGTATCTACATCACAAAAATGTACTGTGGTCATATTTTCATGAACAGCTAAAACCACTTATATAACTACAGGCTAAAATCCAATAATATCTAAGGTATGCAAGTTATACAGTCCTCACCATTCACTGGCTATGGTCAGGTCTGGAGCCAGTAAGTCATGAAGACCTGGAAGCAGACATGAGAGTGAGTGTGAGGATCACAGACATAAATACAAATAAACTAAATCAGAAAGGAAGACTGACCCTCCTCAACAGAGACGTTTCCAATGAAGATATACTCTCCATATCCTCTGGTCAGCACGATACCCAGACTGTCAAACATAGAGAAGTATTTTGTTATTGACAGGAGTAATCATACTTTTACTCACTATTACTTCCTTGTTGCTTAAGAAAATTAAAACAGAAGAGATATTTCTCGCAGATATTTTTGCTGTTAATTATTTCACACAGGTAGAGGTGTTGCTTCATTAAATATGGTTGGCATTTAAAAACTAACACTTTCACAATTCTGTTAAGTTGGTAACAATCCAACAAACCTGAACGGTGTCTCATTGATGACGGTGTAGAAGTAATCATTCTTCAGGAACATCACCCTCGTCTTTGAGAGACAGAGAGAGGACACAAGTTTGAAAAATAATAGTGAACATGGAAAAAAGGAAGAGTTTGTATACTAAAATACAAGTACAGTAGATGAGTAGAACTTTCCCATCAAATGAAATCAATCTTCGATAAGACAAAAAGACAATAAAATCCCACAGGGAAAAAAAGAGAGGAGAATCTAAACTCTGATCGAACAGCTCCAGTTGCTCTCCACACAGATACACTCACATAGAAAGAGGTACTCACTCCTTTATCCACTGAAGTTCTCACGTCTAAAGACAACGTTCCACTTTCTCCTTTAACCATGGCTGTCCTCAGCTGAAACAGGACACACTTAGCACTTAACACAACTCACATTAACATACAAGAATATCAAAACAGAGATTTGAAAAAAGAGAGTGTGTGAGAGAGTGCTACTCACTTTCTCCTCTGTGTCTTCCCATTCCACCTCTGCCAGATCAACACTGTTATAATTGGGTTTTGGCTTCAGCGTCTTCCCCTCTTTATACTGTCACACACACAAACAGACAGATCTTTAGTAACCTATCCCATATTATATTTGGTTATTGCAATACATATGTCCCACAGGATTTTAAAGTTCCAGCAGTTTCTCAGCTGTACATTATGATCTTTGCCTGTACCAGAGGTCGTAGGTCAGGATGAGACAGGATGTAGCCATTGTTGGTGATAAGGTAGCCGTAACCATGTACACCCAGCTAAAGAGACAAAAAAATAAAATAAGGACGCAACAACACAGATCATTACCAAGCATTCATTAACACCTTATTGTGCATTACATGTCACTGACATTCAGAGAAGACTCAAGACAGCATGTTTACAGTATTTCATCCTTGTTTGTGACACAGTATATGTTTTGAATGGTTTACCTTGTATCTAGGAGCTAATCTCATCAGTTCTCTCAAGGCCACGTCTGTCCCTACCACTCCCAGCAGAATCCCATGAGACAACTGCAGGAAACACACAGCAGCTTCATATACAATTGCAGGTAGGGTCTGTTGAGATTAATGGTAATTAAAAAGTAAATACTTACAGTCTCTTCCTTTTTGCTGAACACAGGCATGGCTACTGAGGTCATCAGCAGGAGGCTTTGGGCCTGAGTGTTGAACAGCTATGGTACACAAACACATAAACAAAGTTACTTACTGTGTAGTTTTTGTTTAATAGCTAAAGTAGTTAGCTATCTTATGAGAAAACAACTGAAAATCTAAATTAAGTGGGTGAAGTTCATTCCTGTTGACCAAAGGTGGACAATCAAGTGAAATGGTGATAGACTGGACGGTGATAATAAATTAAGTTGTGCTAAATCTGTCTGAACCCACACACATTAACTAAGCTAAACGTTGTGAAGCAAAATAAGTTAGGAGATGTAAGCTAACTAATATTACCGTACATTAGCTGTTAAAGTAGGTAAGTAAAATGTTTTAGAAGTTGTGAAGAAAAGTTTTAAATATATTTACCGCAGTGAAACACAAATACCGTAGTGAAGTTAGTTTAAGGTTGCATAATTGAAAGACATGAACTACGGTTCTAGGCAGAACCTTTGCTTTCGTTTGCAGTTAGAGGACGTTTAGCCTACATCCGGGTTATTCTTAAAGAGCAACTTGCAGGTTAGAGACACCAGTGAATAAATGTGTAAGAAAATGATGAATACACTAGATTTTCCCAAAAATATACAGAAATATACAATACAGTGACATCTGGCGTCGTTTTAGTAAGACATTTTCACTTCCACATAAAAAAGCCTCTGCACGTGACCTCCCGCGTGTGACGTAACATATGGGAAACAAGGGGGAGAGCGGCCGGTCTAACGTATGAATAAACATGGATCACAATGCTAGTTTTGACACAGAAGAGGTTGAAAATATATATTCGAATGCATATGATTATAATTATGAGCCTGCTAGGCGTCCAAGAGACCAGGCCAAGGATTAGAAAAAATAACGGCCATCGGCGAGAAATGGAGCTTTGGTGTGTGGAGAACCAGTGGAGAACAGAGCAGCTGATTGGTGAGTGACCGGCGTTAGCATGTTAGCTAACGTCAGTCACATCACAACATTGTAAAGTTAGTAATCATATATCAGGCTATAACTAAAGTAGTATTGATAATTGTGAGCCTCTCCGCTCACACAGGGTTCAAATAGGGACGGAAAGAGCAGGTTGGTGGAACACAGGCGTTTATTAACTCCAAACAAAAATATG